AGACAGAGTCTCAAGCTGTTGCTGTGGGCAGAGTACTATGGTGTCATAGCTCACAGCAACCTCCAACTCTTGGGCTCAAGCGATCCTCTTCCCTCAGTTTTTCTATTTTTAGTAGAGACGGGTCTCACTCTTGCTCAGGCTGGTCTCCAACCCATGACCTCAAGCAGTCCACCCGCCGCAGCCTCCCAGAGTGCTAGGATTATAGGCGGGAGTCACTGCGCCAAGCCAGATTCTTTTCATTTATGTTATATAAGTCTGTCCATTCAGATGAGTGAGCACATATGCATATTGGACAATCTCAGTGAAAATTCTCAGGGCTTTCTCAGCCTAGCTTTATTTCCATAGTCCTGCTTCTGGGAAAGAGGTAAGTATTTAGGCACATAGAATTTTTAGAGTCACCCCACCTTCAGTTTCTTTCCTACTGGATCCCATTTAAAAGTCCATGGAGTAATGCTTTATTAATTTACTGCTTTAGATGTTGCTGATAAAATTTTAGCTCTTTTAATTTAAATGTCATGTATTCATTTAATACACTAAGGGACCCGGAATCATACACCATCCCTATGAGCTGTGGCTTATTATTCCTCATCTTATAGGCAGGAAACTGAGGCACAGAGAGGTAAAGTGACTTTCCAATTTTCACCCTTTCAGTAGGTGGAGAAATCAAGATTGAAGCCTATACTTTCCCCTTATACTAGACAATTCCCCTGTAATCATTTGTAATCTATTAATTAGAGGTACACAAACTCCATAAGAACAAGCATTGAAGTGTCCCTTCCCCCAAGGAGGACTTGAACTACAGGGTCAGGTCAGAGCCTTGTGTGTTTCCCCCCTGCATCTATCCTCGAAGCACTTGGCGCTGATGCCACCACCCCTCAGCCCTCCCAGGCTTCAGCTGGTGATATCTGAATTTCAGTGGTGCTCCTGAGTTGATTACAGTCTGATCAGGAAGGTTTGTAGGCAGAAATGTGACTGGGGGAGAATGATGTCAGATCTCATCCCTCCCATCACGTGAGACTGAGAGTCCAGCTCTGCTGTGGGATGGCAGAGACGCCAATCCCAACCAGCCCCAGAAAAGTAGAGATGCTTTCTACTTTCTATACTTTCTACTTTTCTATTTTTTTGAAAGGCAATGATGTCCAAGAGAATGGAGTGTCTGGGACAGAAACTTAACAGTTCCTACTTCAGTGTAAGAGGTGGAATGACTGGTGGCCCTCCTTCTACAGCCACAAAATAGGAAATAAAGTAGGTTCTGAAATCCCTCCTACTGCCTTTCCTCAGTGTGGTCCCAAGAACTAGGCACTAAGTATTCCAACTCTTCAACACTCCTTGGTTAGACTGACTCCCTCCTTATTGTGTTCAGTTCTCCTGGTTGTCCTGCCCTCCCTCAAACTCACAGGATACATTGAGCTGGATGGTTTTCTATGACCACACAAACATCATACATCAGGGTAGCTGCTGCCACAGCCCTGGGATTGTGGGGTGAGGACCTAAAAATTCAGTGTCTGCTCAGATCCTTTAATTATTATGATACAGTGAACTCTCTCCTCCTTCCAACCTTACCTTGAATCAAATTTTCCAGGGTGAAGATGAAGAAATCTCAGTACACAGGAGAACACCTGTCCTTCCAAGATGGAGTGGACCTGGTCAGCTGCAGGCAAGAGAGATGGTTCTGTCTATGGTGCTGCAGGGTGCTCAGAGTCAGGTTCTGTGGTCAAATGTTACCCAGATCTACAGAGGGGTCTAACTCCACAAGCATGGGGCCCAGTCCTTGAGCCATGAAGGCAGCCATGTAACATGGGCTATTGTAAAGGCCTGACTTGCCTGAGATAGGCTTGGGGAATAAGTAAGTGGTCTCATCAGTGGGCTGGGTTTCTCTACTTCCTCCGTTCTGCCACTCAGTTCGTCTTCAGGAACTCTTCTGGATGTATGGCTGTCCCTTGATAGTGAGACCACAGGAAAGGCCTGAGCCCTCCTCCCAGTGGGGACCTGAAAGGATAAAGATCCCAGGAGAATATCAGCCCACATGTAGAAAGGTTGAGATGGGGAGTGACAGGGATTCATAGGGGAAAGCTGTCTGTTTTAAGAACTAAAATTATAATAGTAAGAAATATTTTTAAATTATTATTTACTCACTGTTGAATTTCAGAAAGAGTTTTTAAAAATATGTTTTCTCATCAGACCTTTATAAGTGTGATTTATACTTACTAAATAAAATATTTAGCAGATCTTGGTGAAACCAGATGACTTTCACTCATCCTGGAATGCTGGTTGAGGGCCCACTCTGTGCCAAGCACCATCTTACACATGAGAATATGTGGTGCCCAAGAACACTTTGTGGTGGCGCCAAGGCCAGGCCCTGCTTCCCAGAGCCAACAACATTTGATTACCACCTGGGTACATTTCCATTTTTCTGGGCGTTTGCTTTCTATATCATTTCATTGCTATTGGAGACATAACTTCATGTCCTTCCTTTTCATTTCTTCTGGGCAATTATATAGCCTTTCTATGTGCCAGATACTGTTTTAAATTCTTTATGTGTTGTTAATTCAATTTGACTTCACATAAACCTCATAAAGTAGGCATTGCTGTTATCATTCCCATTTTTATTTTTTTTTATTTATTTATTTTTGAGACAAAGCCTCAAGTTGTTGCCCTGGGTAGAGTGCAGTGGCATCACAGCTCACAGCAACCTCCAACTGCTGGGCTCAAGCAATTCTCCTGCCTCCGCCTCCCAAGTAGCTGGGACTACAGGCACCTGCCACAACGCCTGGTTATTTTTTGGTTGCAGCCGTCATTGTTGTTTGGCGGGCCCAGGCTGGATTCGAACCCGCCAGCTCAGGTGTATGTGGCTGGCGCCTTAGCCACTTGAGTCACAGGTGCTGAGCCATCATTTCCATTTTTAAAGATGAGCAAGCTAAAAAGAAAAAGATGAGCAAACTGAGACAGTACATGGCATCATTCTGTCGATTTTTTTTTTTCCCTGAAGCCCTGGTGGGCACTGATTGAAATAGAGCTCCAAAGTCTCCTGACACTTGCATGCTAAGCTTTACTCACCCTGTATAGACTGTGTACTCATCTTCCCTACCAGGAGGGGATGCTCAGAGGACTATGATCAAGTCTGATTCATTTGTGTTACCAGAACCTATCCCAGGGCAAACCTGACACAAAGGGCACTCAGGAGACAAATTCAACAATGAACCAATGAGCCCAAATGAACAGAACTGTCCCATAATGATACTTAATAGCGTCCTCACTGTGGTCACCTAATCTGAAAGACATTATGGTTCAAGGAAAAATATGGGCTACACAGTGCATGTGGGTTCCCTCTCATAGTTTCACACACCTTGGGGTGCTGCACATCTCAAAGTTTTCATCTCCAGCCAGGCATGGTGGCTCATACCTGTCATGCTAGTACTTTGGAAAGCTGAGGTGGGTGGATTGCCTGAGCTCAGGAGTTCGAGACAAGCCTGAGCAAGAGCAACAACCCATCTCCAAAAAATAACGTGGTGTTGTGGCTGATGCCTGTAGTCCCAGCTACTTGGAAGGCTGAGTCAAGAGGATCACTTGCCTCAAGAGTTTGAGGTTGATGCCACGGCACTCTACTGAGAGCCACAAAATGAAACTCTGTCCCCCCCCCCCGCCCCCTAAAAATCTTTTGACTCTCTGAGGCTCTAGGTTTAGGAAGCCTAGGTCTCAAGGGTCTCAGTTGCTTAGCCGTGGATATCTGGGCTCCTGAGCAGCCAAGTCCTTGAACTCCTTGGGTCCTGTATGTGAGTCTCCAGGGTCTCCAAGGCCCTTGGGTTTGGGGGTGAGAGGGTTGTCTCTAGGGTACTGGTTCTTGCAGTTGCTTTGGGTCCCAGGGGTCTAAGTCTTTAAACTCCCTTGGTCTCAAGGGCTTGAGTCACTGGGCCTCTGAGGTTCTGGGTTAGAGGGGAAGGGTCTGAGCCTTTAGATCCTCCCATTCAGAGGGTCTGGGTCTCTAGGACCCTGGTTCACTGGAACTCTGGGGTCTCCAGGACATTGGGCCCAGGGACTACTGGATATTAGAGGCCTGAGCTTCGGACCCTTCAGTCTCGAAAGTCAGGGTCTCTGTGGTCTCCAGGGCCTCTAGTTTGCTGAAACTCACTCATCTGTTCCCTGTCCTCACGTTCTCCCTCCAGAACCGGTTTCACTGCCCAGCGTCTGCGCAATGGATCTCAGTCGCACCCACTACCTAGAGCCAACAGCACGTGCAGAGGACTCCCTCCAAAGTCGCTGACAGCTGAATCACACGCACAGATCCTCACCCCGCAGCCGGCTCCCTCTCTCAATTCGTCCAGCACCCGCGGAGTCTCTGCCCTGTGCATGCACTATCTTCCTCTTTTACACTTGTGCCCAACCCCTATAATCCCTTTCTACCTCAAAGATAGAAATAATATGCTCTATAATCCCTTTAAAAGCATATAATACTCCCACAAAACCGGGAAATCAGACTATTGCCACTTCTCTCATTCAGCATCCTGCGGTAGAAACAGTGTCCTGCCATAACAACCATCGTACACGCAACTCTCTCGCTCCGGTAACCAGGGGCAGAAAGAAAACAGCAGTGAATTTCGGGAGTAGCAGGCAGAACAAAAGAAGGGGCCGCAGTAGTTGCTGGGAGTTGTAGGCCGAGCAGGGCCCTGAATCACAGGAGCTCCCGCAGAGCTGTTGCGTGAGGTTGTGGAATCTGTACGCAAGACAGCCGCAAGTCCTTCTGGGAGTCGTAGTCTCTGAGTCACTTCCGTGCTGGGCTTCCGCGTGGCAGGCGGTCCGAACGTCTGGGTACCCGGTTGCCTCAGGTGAGCATTCTCTCCTGTGTCAGGTCGGCCCGTGGACCTGGCTCTTTACTGCGGTGCTGTGGGAGGACTGAGGGTCTCTGCGGGTTGTGACGCTCGCCTCTGATTTCCCGCGCCTGTGTCCGAGAGGCCTAATGGATCCCTACCGGATCCCTACTTTGGACACTGCGATCCGGCCTGTGTCTTGCCCATCCAGACCCCTTCCCCAGGTCAAGATAAAACCAACTGCCCGCCTGTCCCCATATCACACCTTATCCATCCTTCTGACAAAGATTCAATCCAGACGCATGCCTGGGGTCCGCCGTCTGGCTTCTGGGAGCATTTATTATTCCCTCATACTATAGGTATTTATACTGAGCACTGATTCTTTTGCGAGGCGGTGGGGATTGGGGGAGGGGAAGAGGCCAACCCTGTCCCTCCTTTAAGATGCTTAGTGGGAGAGGCAGACCTGTCACCAGTAACAGCCAGAGTCAGGACTGGGATGGAGGCATACAAGCAGCTCTGGGAACCCAGTGGAGGGGCCTGACCCAGTTTGGGGTTCATAAAGTCTTGGAGGGGAAGACACTTCAAACCTGATAACGTGTCCAAATGGAGTTCTTGGTCTTCTCCACTCATCAAATAGTCCCACTATCCTCCTCAGTGCTCAGGCCAAAGCTTCAAAATTATCCTTTGTTTCTCTTTTATCATCACCCCCACTCTTCAAAGTCCTATGAACTACACCTCAAAACAGACCCCAAATTTCATTTCTCCTCACCGCCACTGCCACCACCCCATCCAATCCACCATCATCTCACTGAGTACTGCCATAACCTCCTCACTGGGCTCCTAGCTTCTGCTCTTGTTCCATATGGTCCTCCACACATAGCAGCCAAAGGACCCCTTTCGAAACCTAAGTTAGATAATTCCCTTTCCAGCCGGGTGCAGTGGCTCACGTCTGTAATCCTAGCACGCTGGGAGGCCAAGGTGGATAGATTGCTGGAGCTCAGGAGTTCAAGACCAGCCTGAGCAAAAGAGGGAGACCACGTCTCTACTAAAAATGGAGTAACTGTCTGCGTGTTGTGATGGGCACCTATAGTCCTGGCTACTCAGAGATTGAGGCAAGAGAATTGTTAGAGCCCAAAGAGTTTGAGGTTGCTGTGAACCTCAACCTCCAGGCAACTGAATGAGACTGTCTCTAATTCTTTTTCCCTGCTCAAAAACCTTCCATGGCTCTCAACTCCCCTTGCATAAAACTAAAATTCCACATCGTGACCTGTAAGGTTCTGCCAACTTTTGCAGCTTCATCTCCTGCCAAGGTCTCCTTTCTGCAGGATATGGACCCCCAGGATTGGACGACTAGATCTAGAGAGTTTAGATGGGTGCAGAGTGACTTTATGCCCTGTCTTGCAGAAGTTCTGGGTGGTAGTGGCTACTCTCAAAAGATAGGAAACGGCTGGGCAGGAATAGGTTTCTGCATTGGAGGAGTAAGTTGTCTGGGCAATTAAGAGTCTGAGGGTCTGAAAGGTGCCCCAGAAGGGATGATCAGTGGGCCATTTGGAGGATCAGCCCAGATGGACATCTGAATACTGTGACTTAGAGGTGCCCACAAGGAGGATGGGAAAAGGGGTGCTGGGCAGGACCTGAGGACATGAAGATGCCTTCCCCAAGTGACATGAGCAGAAGAAAATCCAGGAGAGCAGAGAAAGGATTGAGTCAAAAGCCAAAGGAGAAGAGGTGTCAGCTCAGCTGTGACAGATTTGTCTGATGGTCACAGCAGATGAGGGCTGCAAGCTGGGCTTGGTGACAGAGAGAACAGCCAGTGCAAACACATGGAGACAGAAGTGTTCTTCAGATGTTTGACAGGTAATAGAAGCCAGTGCAGGTGAAGGAGAGTGGAAGGAGATGAGGTCAGAGGAAAAAGCGATATCCTGTAGGCCCTCATCAGCCATTAGCATGTACTAAATTAAGATGAACTCCATGGACGGATGTTGAGAAGACACTGGGCGGGATCCCACTGACTGTTCAGTGGAGAAGAGTATGGAGAGAAGGGGTGGGGCAGGGAGACAGTGAGGAGCCCCTTGCAACAGAGTAGGATGGCCTAGACTAGGGTGCTGGCCATGAGATAGAAGTGTTTGGCTATCTTGAAGCTACAATCAAATAGGATTTACTTCATTCAGTTTGGGCACCTGGAATTTGAGGTCTAAGGGAGCCCCAGTGGGGCATCTGGAGAAAAGGTCCAGGGACAGTGACAATAGTTATGAGAGAAATTGAAGTCTAGGATTCTGGACCCAATGGCTTCTGGCCTGAGCAGCTGGAAGGATGGAATTTCCCTTTATGCTAAGAGAAGCCTGTTATGTGAGAGGAATCAGGAATTTATGTTTGAGATGCCCCCTAGACATCTGACTGGTCCCTATCCTTGTGAAAATTAGACAGTAAGTATACAGTCACATAAAATCCACATATTGTGGTAAATTCTAGAAGCAGCCTGACCTGCTCTGAATGACAAGGAGGCTACTGCAGTAGTCCAGGCTGGAGATGATGGTGGCTTGTGGAGAGGGGCACTGAGCCTGGTAAATTTTCATGGGCTCACCAGACAGGTGGGACCAAAGTGGGTATGGCTGGAGGTTGGAGTCTTGCCTGAGTGGGGAGGGGTGAGATGAGAAAGAGAAGAGATGGGGGTCAAGAGTTGGCCTATCCATGTCTTGATAAGGCCACAGAAAGCTTGTGGAGGATTCTGATCCCAGAGCAGGGTTGAATCCAATCCTTCAAGCCCACACTCCTCACCCCCAAAACAAGTACAACCCCAGCTAGTCTCCCTGGAGGTCATTTTGTGTGTCCCTGGAGGTCATTTTGCCTTTGAGGATGCAATCAAGACCCATTCTTGGGGACATCATCCTACCCATCCCCCAGAGTGAAATCCAATTGGACTTTCCTGCTTTAGCCCCCTTCCTCTGACCAGTGGTGCATTCCCTGGTCTACCTCTGTCGGTCGCCCGAGCCTCTCCCCTCCCAAACCCTCTCAACAGCCCTGCAGGCTCAAGTCAATGATATGTCCCTCTGTTCTGGGGTCTAAAATGGATGGCCTACCTGAAGGCTATACCAAGTGGTCTTTAATAGGCACCCCCAACCTAATGCACAGGACACAACCCAGTTCTAGGTAAATAACCTGCCTGTCTCTTCCTCCGAAACAAATTCCTTAAGCTCCTTCTCTTCTTGGTGCATACCGAGTTCTACCCAGGAAAGTTTTCTTGAGACCGTGGCCTTTATTCACCAGAACCTATATACAATCCTCCTGTACCCAGCTCCAGAATAAATGACTCTGCCCACGCACACTTGCCCTCGGTGTATACCTGGCATGAGTGCTACTAGGCAGTCTCTCCAAAGGCAACGACCCGGGAATCCGCGTGTAACCCATCTCTCTCCCTATTGATCCAGGAGAAGCCGTATCTCTACACGCGATGCCCGCCCCGCCCTGCACCTCCTGCCACGCGGCACGAGCTGCCCTCCGCCGCCCGCGCTCAGGGCAGGCACTGTGTGGCGCCTGCTTCTGCGCCGCCTTTGAGGCCGAGGTGCTGCACACAGTGCTCGCGGGCCGCCTGCTGCCGCCCAACGCGGTGGTGGCTGTGGGCGCCTCAGGCGGCAAGGACTCCACCGTGCTCGCACACGTGCTGCGCGAGCTCTCTCCACGCCTGGGCATCTCCCTGCATCTCGTGGCTGTGGACGAGGGCATTGGCGGCTACAGGGATGCGGCGCTGGCGGCCGTGAAGCGCCAGGCAGCGCGCTGGGAGCTGCCGCTCACTATCGTGGCCTACGCAGACCTTTTCGGGGGCTGGACGATGGACGCCGTGGCCCGCAGCACTGCCGGCTCAGGCCGCAGCCGCTCCTGCTGCACCTTCTGCGGCGTGCTGCGGCGTAGAGCACTGGAGGAAGGGGCGCGCCGCGTGGGAGCCACGCACATCGTGACTGGTGAGCGCAGGCGCAGCATTGTGGGAAGGTGTGGGGCGCATGCGTTTGCAGAGGATGGGCGGTAAAGGGAACGAGGACGCATGCTCTGAAAGTGGAATGGGAGGCCTTGGGCCTGACTTAAGGGGAGGATCTAGTAAGGAGCTGAGGATAAGCGCAAGATCCCATTTGGGGCTGGTGGTCACGGCGGACTTGAGACAAGGAGAAAACCGGTCCAGGCAGGGACTCCAGACAAGGAGAAAACCGGTCCAGAAAGGGTGTCACAAAGGCTTGGGTCTTGGTCTTTAGAGATTGGCAAAGTGTTCAGGGGTAAAAAGTCTCTGGGGATTAAATCTTTGGTTCTTTACTTATTTTTACGTGTTTCTAATATTCTTGGTCTCTCACGATCCATCTTTCAGAATCTATCCCTATCTCTGAAAAGCATCTCTACCTCTTA